AGATATGCGGTCTCAAGGATATTGGCCCCAAGTAGTTGGCTTTTGTTCTGCAAACTGTTGTTGAAATGTTCACCAAAATATATCTTGTATTACTGTTTTACTATCTTTTATATTTTCAACCCCGTTATTCCAAGTTTGTTTGGCGACTGCTTAAGGGTCTGTGGATTCTTAGACAAACCTTGTGTCTGGCATCTTGGTATGCTATGGATTTTACTGGTTTTAAACTTATCTACCATTATATGCTTCAATGGATATCTAATGTTATGCTTTGGAAACTGAAGACACTTTTCTTTGTCATGTCATACATTTACTTTACATGCATTCGTTTGGATTAGTTTAATGCTTTAGACGACTGGGGGCTTTGATTCTTCTTAAGAGTTAGGCTATGCTGATGCCAATGAAGTGAGAATCAGGAATATGGCACAAACGGATCCGGTGAAGCAGAGACAACCCTGTTCATGATTGCTTATTAATTGAACGGGGATCTCTATGTTTGGCTTGGGTTGCTTCAAAATGGGTGTAAGCGTTAAGTTTCATAGTAAATGGACGGGATGGTAGGGACTCGGGTAAGGGGTGGGATGGGGTGAATGGTGTAGATAAGGATTAAAATTGGCACAGGCACATGTAAAGCTCAACCTGCTATGGATTGAGGTTATTTCAGAGGTGTTAAAATGTTTCGGGTTATTAATACTAAGTGGTTCTAAATGTTGAAAGCATGATTTAGGTGAATCTCATCCGCGATGATTGTGGCCATGGTTTGACCAGCCTTTAGAGTTGAGTCGAGCTGTGTCGAGTTATGCTATTTCATGCCAAGGGTGGGACAATTCAAACTAGATTGGTCTGAAATTGAACAAGAATCATACAAGTATATGATGATTCCATTAACACCTCTACTTCAATCTCCTATTTGGATAATTTTCTCAGGTTGTTAATACCAAGCGACTCTACATATTAAAAGCATGATTTAGGCTTGTCCACTATAGTTATGCCATGATCTGATTGGCATTTAGACTTCAGTCCACTTCAGTCGAGTCGAGTTAAGCCCAATTAGGCTATCTTATGCTAAGGGTAGGACAACTTAACTAGATTGATCTGAACTTGAACCATATCTATATATGATGATTCCATTTACCCTCTACATCAATCTCCTAGTTGGATAATTTTAATTTTAAATAATAAAATTTACAACTTCAATCAAAGAATTCGGAGGAAAAGCTTGATCTCTATTTGAGAATAAATTTTAAAATAGATAATTTTTTGGAGAATGTTTGATTAAAAAGTAAGAAAATACTTTAAATTTACATGCAATATTATTATTATTATTATTTTTAAAGAATGACTCAAACAGGGCTAACATAACTATTTGGCAACCATTTCCTCCCAGTATTTGCATGGCCAATAGAAACTAGGGTTATAACCC